TATTTAATGTTCATGACACAGATAAAGAAGTACCAGATATTTTTTTATTAAATTCCAAATCAACAACCACTGTAGTAAATAAATAGTGAAGCTATTTTTTCTACTCCAGTTTCAAATAGAGTACCAACTTCTGTCTGACAGACCTGCAGCCTTTAAGAGCAAATACTTTTTCTTCTTCAGGGAAGAAGGGCATGTCTCTGGCCACTTTATCTGCCAGATCATAGTTTGGTTTGATGTTCAGATGAACCATCTCAGCCATGACACACTGATGCACATGCTTCAGCTCCAGAGGTAGGAAAGGAATGTAATGATCAATCAGATGCTGATTTATTAGACTGGAGTGCCAAAGTCCATCTGTAGATTTACACAATAACGAGGAGATCATTAATAAAATAACAAATTATATATACTGTATATGATACAGTTACATATACAAAATAAACAGATGAAGATAATACTGTAGATTCATGGAATTTGCATGAATTGCTTGCAAAGATATTATTTAAAAGACAGCTCCTGTGCAATGTCCACTCTTCTCTTTATGGTGTGATTTACTAGTAACCTTGTCATTGATATTACACTGTGCAAATACTTTAACACATACTGTTCTCATCATTGAAGAGGTATTCGAAGATTTGAGTCTCCATTCCCTCACTCTGGAGTTGTAGTTCTTCCCGATTGTTGCCTTTTCTCCAGCAATCCAGAGTCACATTTTTGATGATATGCCCACCTGTTTGACTATAGATAATACAGCTCATCATGCACTGGTTCACTCTTTTAAGAGCGAGTAACATGGACAATATACAAAAAAAGGACTGGAGATAAAAAGATTAAAGACAGAATTTAAATTACAATGCATAGGTAACACCTTTTCTAATTTCTTTTAGGAGTATATTTTAAGAAATGTCCAAAACACTGGCTATGTTCAGAATAGCATACTACAGCATACTGGACACAAAACTGTATCACACAAAACAATGCGCACAACTTGATCTTCCATTTTCAGTGTAATTAACAAACAACAATTCATATTAATTACAAATAACGTATTTTTGGACTGGCATATGATAAGACATTAAAAATGTATTTAAAAATGCAAAAAAAATCCATATTTATTTAATGTATGACACTGTTTACTGACAAGTTTAGCATTGTATGTTTATAGTTTAAATACAGTTTTTCAAAAACAG